CAGGTTCAATTGTATATCTATGTGACCACACTCTTCTACCCTCTTATAGGCGGGGATTTGAGTTTGTGAAGACATGGCTAGACAAACCAGGCCGGCCTGTGTTCACCCCTGACCTCTCGGACAAGGATCGCCTGACTGCTGAAGCAGATGAAGTAGCAGAGATTATGTCTGATGGACGAAGAAAGGTGTAGTAACGACAAAAGGCTTTCTGCCTTGGTACTTTGACTTCTGTTAATGTTTATCAGAATCCTTCTGTTTTCTTGAGAGTATAATCGACAGGAACTGTCCGGCACAGGCTGTTTTCATGTCGTCAAATAGGATTTCAAGGACCAGGAATATCTTCACTTGCTGTGATGAAAGCTGAGGATTTTCAACTCAAATGTGTGAAGTATGGATGTGAAACATGGAGTGCATCTCAGACTTGCAGAAGAAGGGAGGGGGGTTGTAAAAATTACTTTTTCCAAATGGTTTTATTGTCAGTCCAACCTGTTAGTGCTTGACTATTAACCCTTAAAACCCTATAGGGCTGGTAACCGCTGACGCCGTATTTTCCTATACCGCTGGTCGACTTTATCATTTAATTCCTGGTGCTAAAAACAGGGGATGTAACTCCAGATGACTCTGTCACGAGCAGAAAGTACCGATAATGTCATGAGAGCAGTTCTACACCAAAAGTTTAGAAATTTTGCGAGTTTTTAAGAAAAATTAGTCACTTTTCGCTGCCAAGCCCTGCAGGCTGCAAAATTTTTGACATTTTTTATCCTGAACCAGACGCCAATAATGATCTCCCAGTCGGATATATCGATAAATATGACCGTTGAAGACGATTGCAATGTTCCGCATAACATCGATAATGATTTTGACGATTGTGGAATTGGCAGGGGATCACCACTAAAGCTACCAGAGGCTAGATCTACGGCTGGGTCTAATGATACTTTGACTGAAGTGGAGTCGGGGATTACACACAAGACTTAACTCATAGAATTGGTCCTAAAAACCAATGTTTTAACCTTTTCCCCTTTTGTCCAGACTGTGCATTCATATATAAATAACATTTTCAAACTTCAGTAAAATCTAACAACAATTAAAAACACAGTAAACAAAATAATGAACCAACCTAATTTTTTCTAGTATCTCAATTTTAATTCAGGATTCTAGGGAGATATAAAAAAAAAATAATTCAGGGTTTTAAGGGTTAATTCACTTTATTCTTATTCCAGGGCTCTGAGGCCAAGGACATCAGTGGTTGGCAGACGTACCAGATCATGTACTTTCTGGACATCTTGTCTCGTAACTCCCCATTGCCTGATGGGTGCATGCAGAAGCTGGCTGCCACTTACCCCCAACTGGCCAAGTCACAGAATGCTGAGGTCACTACCGGTTATCTAGTTTTTGTCTCTCTTAAATTTGGGGGTCAAGGGTTTATGCTTGATTGCATATGAGGAGTCCACTGGAAATGCGGGAATAGTCACAAACTGAAAATCGTGAAGGTTGAAATTTTGAACACTTGTTGACTCATTCTTATTGTTGTTAGATTACCCATTCAACAAACATAACAATAAACCACCAATCAAACAAATATGAAGTTATGAGTCCACAAGCTTTTAAAATTGACACCCTCACTATTTCCAGCTTGTGACTATGCCCATTTTCCCCATGGTCTCCCATAATTATGTGTCATGGCGAGGTGGAATCGGGCGCTCATAAGTTTTTTGGCATATGGAGTAATTTTGTATAATCATAAAGCCCAATCATTTGTCCCTCTTTTGATGAAAAAAATACCTTTCTTTCTTAAATTAACGTCAAGATATTTTCTAGTGAAGGAGGTGAGGGTCGCCTGGTGTGAGAATTAAAATAAGCGAGAAAATGGTCGCCAAAGTTTGGTTGCTTCCAAAGCTTGAGTGTCCTTGGAAACTGTAAATTTACACTTTGTTGTGTGCCTTTAATCAATATTTTTCAGTAAACACCAGGATGGTATGTCGTGTAAAATAGACATGAAAGGTGTTGAGCCCAAAACAAAGAGATCAATAAGATTTGCCCAACAGGTGGAAAAATGTCGGGTTTTTTTCAGTTTCATTATTTCGAAGAGTGCCTGATTTCACCACAATTCCACAAATAGGATTGTAAATGTTTGACAGCGTCAACAACACAACTTGATAATTATTTTTAAAAAACAGCTTTTATAAAGCATGCACTAATTAGCAATGCCCACCGAGCGCGTTTTGTTCTGCCGATTTTTGGCCCCCGCAGCGGGGGTGTTTCGTGGGACACAATAACGCAAAGGTTGTTGTCTTCAACCCGCTCTCACGCCGCTTCTCGCGAATGGATATGAATGAAACTTGGCAGCCAATCAGAAAAGAGGTCAATCTCGTAGTATGTAGTTTGACAACATTGTACCCATCCTAGAAGCAGTCGAAAACGTTTGCGAAAGTGGTTGATGTGGTGCGCTTTGAAGATTTTTCGGAGCTGTGATTTGTCAAACTGACTGATACGTTGTTCACCATTTTTTTTTATTCCCTTAAAATTTCAAGCTTCTGTGTTTTGCGGTTTTCGCGTAATCTTTAAAAATGTGAGAGTAACTAAGGGAAAAAGCGACATTGCCATTTGCGCGTGCTGGGTGAATGGCCGGCGGCCTGGAAATTTCCACGGAGTGACGTCATCAGCCATCGTTCGCCTCGGGCGCTACAAACGAGGCCCCGCTTATGTGAACCGGAAAGGGGGGGGGGGGGAGGATACTTGAAAACTAAACGGGGGCCTTGATAACTTGCGTTTTTGTTGCATTTTAGTCACAATACAATAGATGTAGTCATTTTTATTTGCTTAATTGCATGACAGAAGAATAGAAACAGAAAAGCAAACATCTTGAGAAGTGGTATGGCATTGTGTGTTTGCGTTATGAAAGCC